AGAGCTGAAGGAAACGGATTTCAGTCAGTTTGATATCCCCCTCCCACCTCCCCCCTCCCTCCTCCTCCAGCGCCAGCGCATGAGAACGAGAGAGAGAGAGAGGGAAGGACACAGAGACTGAGAGAGAAGATGAGAGAGAGAAAGAGACAGTGAGAGAGAAACAAATGACGCTCTACGTGACTACATACACCCAAGACTGTTAGATTATACCCTGCTCCACTCCCCCACTACTCTACTACAATATTATCTCAATTATCTGCCATGTACTCGACTCTGTTGCAACAGCTACTCTAGTCTACTCTACCTTGTCTCCTCCCTCACCTCTGTCTCCAAACTCCCGACCCTTACCATATTACAATTCTACTTTTGGAGTGAGAGGGCCGAGCGCGGTCTTACACCGTCCCTGGGCGCGTGGCTGAAGTGGGACTCCGCGGCGCGAAGGCTGCTTGTTGTTGGTACGTTACGTTGCGTTGCGTTGTTGCTGTCGCCATTCCGCCCGCGAACCACCCCGCGACCCACCCAGCGACCCACCCCGCGACCCACCCGCGAACCACCCGCGACACAACCCGCGACCCACCCACAACCCACCCGCGACCAACCCGCGACCTACCTGCGACCCACCCGCGACCCACCCGCGACACAACCCGCGACCTACCTGCGACACACCCGCGACCCACCCCGCCACCCGCCCGCTACCCACCCGCGACCCACCCCGCCACCCACCCGCGACCCAGTAGCCCCTGCCCAAAAGTGGCAGGGGCGGCCGCCCTGGGGCGTTCGTTCCCAAGGTGGCTGCTAGCCGCGTGGGCCCCTCGGTCAGAGGACTCCACCCTCTCGCTGTCGGTGGGGCGCGGCTGGCGGCTTTCTCCTCTTTGGGCATCCCCCCTTCTCATCGCCACGTTTTGTTGCCCACCCATTCCTCCCACGGTCTGGGTACCCCGCCCAGGCGTGCGTGGGGGTGGGCGGGTCGCCTGCGGGCGGCTCATCGGGGTACCCCCCACCCAGCCTCCCCACGGCCGTGGTTCCCCGCCCGGCGCGAATGGGGATGGGGCGGTCTGTCGTGGGAGTGGTGCCCCACGGAAGCTTATCGGGACGGGACGGCCTGGCGTGAGGCGTGTCGTTACGGTTGGGCGCAGCTCGAAAATGCCGTGAGGCAGGTAGTGCGTGCGCTGCTTGCTTTTCGGCCCGAAATCGTATGGTTCTAGGTGCACCGCTAGTGCCTGCTTTTTCTCACCTCCAGTGCTCTGCTCTGGTAGTGTCTGCCCTCGAAGTGCCGTGCTCGACAGCCGCCTTGTCTCTCACTGCCAGAGCTCAGGTCAGCATGAGAAGTCATGTACAGCAGCGCAGCGGTAAAAAAATCCTCATCCTCCTCCTCCTCCTCCTCCTCATCCTCATCCTCCTCCTCCTCCTCCTCCCTCCTCCTCCTCCTCCTCCTCCTCCTCCTCCTCCTCCTCCTCCTCCTCCTCCTCCTCCTCCTCCGCCTCCGCCTCCTCCTCCTCCTCGTCCTCCTCCTCCTCCGTTTCCTCCTCCCCTCTCCCTCCTCCTCCTCCTCTTCCTCCTCCTCCGCGACAGGGAGAAGTTAGTTATGAGGAAAAGGAATGAAGGAAGAGGAAGAGGAGGAGGAGGAGGAGGAGGAGGCGGCGGAGGCGGAGGCGGAGGCGGAGGCGGAGGCGGAGGCGGAGGAGGAGGAGGAGGAGGTGGAGGAGGCGGAGGCGGAGGCGGAGGCGGAGGCGGAGGCGGAGGAGGAGGCGGAGGAGGAGGCAGAGGCGGAGGCGGAGGCGGAGGAGGAGGAGGAGGAGGAGGAGTAGGAGGAGGGAGGAGGAGGAGGGGGTGGAGGAGGAGGAGGAGGAGGCGGGGGAGGAGGGCCACTTTGAACCCAATATGCATCAACGATGTTGGAGTACCCCCCCCCAAGGTTCCTGTTCATAGGCCCCATACAAAGATTGATTTCCACTGTGGGAATTGCTCCGTTGGGAGAGCCGGTTGGAGATCCTGAAGCCTGCCAAACACCATTCCGAGATTTTCAACGCCACTACTTAACCTGACTGTTGCGTCTTGACGATCCTGAATGGTGCAAAAAAACATTCCTCGGACTTCACCAACGCGAATCAACTTAACTGTTGCCCCCCGACAGTCGTTAACTGTTGTTTTCTGACAAACGTTACCCATGGGAAACTGTGAAACTCTTAAGTTTCTTAAACATGAATGCGCGCGGCGCTAAGCCGCCACCAACCCGTGAAACTCCTGCACTCTTGCAACTGTTTGAAACGCATGTGCGCGGTGCGGAGGCGAGAGCGACATTTTGAAACCGACCCGCCCTCAATGCTGTCAGTGGACGACTGTCCGCGGCACTAAGGCGATAGCCACGTTTTGAAAACCACCCGCCGTCCATGTGTGAAACTGTTGCCAATGTTAAGCTCCAGGTCATAATTTGTGAGGAAGTTTCAGGCGAGACGGATGGCCGCTCTTCCAACTGGCTTCGGGGTGCGACAGGGAGGAGTCATTTATAAGGAAATTCAAACGGATGGTGAGCAGGAGGAGGAGGAGGAGGCGGAGGAGGAGGGGGATGAGGAGGAGACGGAGGAGGAGAAGGAGGCGGAGGAGGAGGAGGAGGAGGGGGTAGAAGGAGGAGCAGGAAAAGGAGCAGGAGTAGGAGGAGGAGGAGGAGGAGTACGAGGAGGACCAGTGTAAACCAAAGAATCATCAACGATGTTGGGGTAGGCCATCCCTCCAAGCTCCCTCTTCATAGGCCCCTACAACGGTTCATTTCCATTGATAGAACTGCTTCGTTGAAAGACACCCGTTTGAAGACCCTGAAGCATGCCAAAACATTGTTCTCGGGGTTCCAGCGCCACGGATCAACCTGACTGTTGCGTCTTGACGATCCTGAATCGCGCCAGAACGCCATCCCTAGGACGTCAACACTGAACATCAAGGAAACTGCTGCAGCCGCATAATCCGGAATCCGTCCAAAACACCATTACTGGTGGTTGATGAGGGGATCCCGTGAAACTGTTGCACATTTGTCAAACGAACGCGCGCGGCGCTAAGGCGAGAGCCACATTTTGAAAAGAAGCCACCCTCAATCCGTGAAGCTCTTGTGAATGTTTACAACGAATGTGTGCCGCGCCAAAGCGAGAGCCACATTGTGAAAACCACCCGCACTCAATCCGTGAATCTCATTGCACATTCTTACCAGGAATGTGAGCGGCGCTAAGGCGAGAGCCACATTTTGAAAACGGCCCGCCCTCGACCCGTGAACCTCTTGCAATTATGTTAAACGAATGCGCGCGGCGCTGAGGCGAGAGCCACATTTTGAGAACGACCCGCCCTCAATCCGTGAACCTCTTGCAAGTTTAAAAAAACGATGAGCGCCGCGCTCAACCGAGAGCCATCTTTTGAACACCACCCGCCCTCAATCTCTTGCACCTTTTTAGAACGAATGTGCGCCGGGCTAAGGCGAGAGCCACATTTTGAAAAGCACCCGCCCTCAATCCGTAAAATTCCTTGCACATCTTTGCAACGAATGTGCGCCGCGCCAAGGCGAGAGCCACATTTTGAAAACGACCCGCCCTCAATCCGTGAAGCTCTTGCAAATTTCTAAAACGAAGGCGCGCCGCGCCAAAGCGAGAGCCACATTGTGAAAACCACCCGCACTCAATCCGTGAAATTCCTTGCACATTTTTGCAACGAATGTGCGCCGCGCTAAGGCGAGAGCCACAGTTTGAAAAGGAGCCACCCTCAATCCGTGAAGCTCTTGTGAATGTTTAAAACGAATGTGTGCGGCGCCCAAACGAGAGCCACATTCTGAAAACCACAGGCACTCAATCCGTGAAACTCATTGCACATTTTTAGAACGAATGTGCGCCGCGCTAAGGCGAGAGCCACATTTTAAAAAGCACCCGCCCTCAATCCGAGAAATTCCTTGCACATTTTTGCAGCGAATGTGCGCCGCGCTAAGGCGAGAGTCACATTTTGAAAACGACCCACCCTCAATCCGTGAAGCTCTTGCAAAATTATAAACGGATGTGCGCGGCGCTAAAGCGAGAGCCAATATTTTGAAAACCACCCGCCGTCCATCGGTGAAACTGTGGGCAATTTTTAAGCTTCAGAGTCATACCGGCGAGGAAATCTCAGGCGAAAAGCCCGGCCCGCCCTAAAAACTGGCCTAGGGGTGCAACACGGAGAAGTTATCTACAATGAAAAGGAATTGGGGAGGAGGAAGAGGAGGAGCAGGAGCAGGAGGAGCAGGAGGAGCAGGAGGAGCAGGAGGAGAAGAAGGCAGGGAGGAGGAGGCAGGGAGGATAAGGAGGCAACGAGGAGGAGGAGGAGGCAGGGAGGAGGAGGCAATGAGGAGGAGGCGAGGCCAGTTTTTAGGGCGGGCCGGGCGATTCGCCTGAGACTTCCTCACCACTTATGACTCTGACGCTGCAAAATTGCCCACAGTTTCACAGATGGAGGGCAGGTCGTTTTCAAAATGTGGCTCTCGCCTTAGCGCGGCGCACATTCGTTCTAAAAATGTGCAATGAGTTTCACGGATTGAGGGCGGGTGCTTTTAAAAATGTGGCTCTCGCCTTAGCCCGGCGCACATTCGTTTAACACAATTGCAAGAGGTTCACGGATTGAGGGCGGTGCCTTTTCAAAATGTGGCTCTCGCCCTTGCGCCACGCACATTCGTTTGCAAAATGTTCAAGTATTTCACGGGATCCCATCATCAGCATACCATAGATGGTGCTTTGAAAGGATTCAAGATTATGCGGGCGCAACAGTTACGTTGATTATCTGCGTTGAAGTTGATCCGTGGCGCTGGAACCCCGAGAACAATGTTTTGGCATGCTTCAGGGTCTTCAAACGGGTGTCTTCCAACGAGGTGGTTCCATCCATGGAAATAAACCGTAGTTGGGGCCTGTGAAAAGGGATCTTGGAGGGAGGGTTTACTCCAACATCGTTGATGAATCCTGGGTTTACACTCGTCCTCCTCCTCCTCCTTCCCGCCCCCT